AAAAAAAAATCCAACCCTCCACCCAAAAATCCCCCCCCCCTCAAACACCCCCCCCCCCCCTCAAACACCCCACCCCCCGTCAAAAAAAAAAAAAAAAAAAAAAAAAAAAAAAAAAAAAAAAAAAAATCACTCCTCGCCTCCTTCCTCCTTGCCCTCTCACCTCCAGCATGAAGGACTGAGGGAGTCCGCCGTTGAAACCCGGAATGCACACGACGCTGCAAGTGTGCGAGGTCACGTTGTCCACCACGCAGCCGGTAACCTCTTCGGGGGGACCTATGTGGGGAGGGGGGGGGTGATGGAGAAAGAGGAGGGGGGGGGGAAATCGTGGTTAGAAAGAGGAAACATGGATAAAGATAAATGTGAAGACAAAGACAATAATGATAATAACAATGATAATGATAATAATAATAATAATAATAATAATAATAATAATAATAATATGATACTATTACTACTTCTACTAATAATAATGGTAGTAATAATAATAATGATAATGATAGTAATAATGATAATAATAATAATAATAATAATAATAATAATAATAATAATAGTAATAATAATAAGAACAACAACAACAACAACAACAATGATAATAGTAATAATAATGATAATAATAATAATAATAATAATAATAATAATAATAATAATAATAGTAATAATAATAAGAACAACAACAACAACAACAAAACAACAATGATAATAGTAATAATAATGATAATAATAATAATAGTAATAATAATAATAATAATAATAATAATAATAATAATAATAATAATAATAATAAGAGTGACAATAAAAATGGAAGGGGGGATCGTGGTTAGAATTGGGGGGGGGGGGGGGGGGGATTGAAAACAAGGATAAAAAGAAATGTAAATTAAGAAGACAATAATAAATAGAAACAAAGAAAAAAAGGGGAATGGATGACGGAGGGAGGAAGGTGGTTAAAAAAAGGAATGGGAAAACAAGGACAAAAGCAACAGTAAATAGAAACAAAGACAAAAAAACAAACAAACAAAAAAGTATGTGTGTCAGGGGGGGCGGGGGGGAGGAAAACTGACAATAAAAAGACAAAAGCAAAAAACAACAAAAACTAGTACAGATTCAAAAGCAAAAACAGCAAAAAAAAAAAAAATTAGCCGCGGGAAGCGACGGAAGGACTCGCAGTTAAAAAGGGGGGGGGGGCGATTAAAAACAACAAAAAACGGAAAAAATATCAAAATTAAACACAAACGAAATTAAACAAAAACAAAAAAAACAAAAAACTGTGCATGGGAAACAAAGGAACTGAACCCTGTTTTAATTTGAAATTTTAAGCAATTTTAGTTTTTTGTTTGCTTGTTTATTTGCTTATTCGGTTATTTATTTTTCTTCATATAATTATCTATAAAGTTTATCCAACCAGCATTTGTTTAAGTAAATTGTTTTGTCATTTAGTTACTTATTTGTTTGTTAAGTTCCTTTTCTTGTTTATCCATTTGTTTTTCTTTTAGTGTTTCCTGTGGTTAGTTTTTTGTGGCTGGATATTTATCGATTTAGTTTGGCTTTATTCATGTGTCTGTTAATTATCTATCTTATTCACTTATTTTTCATTTGTTTTGCTGCTGACAACTTTTTGTATTTATTTATGTGTATTTATTTATATCTGTTTTCTTATATCTATCATCTATTTTATAATATTCATTATAATCTACTATTTGTTTTTTCATGTTTTTTTTTTTTCATTTAAAAAGTTATATAAAAAACGAACTAAGCTAAGAGTGTAAATCACGGTATGAAGAGAGAGAGAAAAAAACAACAACAACAACAAAAAAAAAACATAAAGTCTGTGCCTGTGATGTTATTTATGTTCTCAAGGACGTATTAAGGCAACTCCAAAATGCCATGTTGGGACACAGAGGATCTAAGGTATGGCAGAGTGGACATCACATTTGCTATGTGTTTATGTCAACATGTTAAAAACGTGCTCCTTGGCAACCAGAGGGGAAAAAAAGTCAACATGGACAGTGTAATCAGGGACGAGAGCGAACAGACACCACAAACTAAAGGTAAACATGAACACATACAGGATAATGAAGAACAAATTTGAACAAAAAGTACAAAGAAGGGTGAGACCGCACAGGTGCCTGAATATGTTACTAGTTTACACTTTACACTATAACCAAACGTGATCTGTATCCTGTGCGACGTAGATGATTAAATTTGCACAGACGGAGTAATGTTTACATTTGCGACAAGAGGTGCTTATCAACGTAATGAATTAAAGGTAGAAATGAAGAAAACGTTATTTAGCCACGAAAAATGACGCCTGAAAATAATTATAACAGAAAAACAACGCGTGGGGATAATAACTTACGTACGGAGATAAAGAAATAAGATAATTAAGCAGTACAGAGAGAAACAATAAAATAATTAGAAAGAGCAAGAGATAATATCAGACCAGAGAAAACTCCTCAACACAACAGCGTCGTCGATAGAACACTTCGAGAGAGAAAAAACAAAT